GTCTCCCTCCTCTTCCTCAGCCCCCCATCTCCTCTGTAACCTCCCCCAAACCCTTCTCACTGTCTCCCTCCTCTTCTTCAGCCCCCCCATCTCCTCTGTAACCTCCCCCTCCCCAAACCTTCTCCCCATCCCCTCCCTCTTCTCCCCCAAACCCTCCCCACTGTCTCCCTCCTCTCCCCCACCGCCCTCGTTATCTCCTCTATAACCTACCCTTCCTCTTCTCCCCAAACCCTGCTCCCCCATCCTCATCCCCCAACCCTTCTCCCTGCCTCCCTCTTCTCCCCCAAACCCTTCCCCCCCACCCTCATCCCTTCTCCATCTCCCTCTTCTCTCCCAAACCCTTCTCACTGTCTCCCTCCTGTCCCCCACCCCCTCATCTCCTCTGTAACCTCCCCCCACCCTCATCCCCTCCCTCTTCTCCCCCAAACCCTCCTCACTGTCCCCCTCCCCCACCGCCCTCATTATCTCCTCTATAACCTACCCCTCTCCCACAACCCTCTTTCTCTCACCTCCCCTGACCCCTCTCACTGTCTCCCTCCCTCTCTCCTCACCCTGCTCCACCCCCGAAGTCTTTCCTCCTCTTCCCTGTCTGTCCTCCTTTCTCTTTCCCACTTTTTGTGGGGTGTTGGTGTTGTCTGAGGGAGGCACTGTGCTGATGGGACCATCAGCAGGGGCTAATTGTGCTGGTGTATTTGTGATGATGGCTGTCAATCAGGAGTTGGATTGAGATCCAGCAAACTCATTGCATATAGGCTCCTGAAAATTTGCCATCCACTAACTTTTGGTGTTTAGCCAGCTGGGGCAAAGGCTGAATTTAAACCAGTGACCTAGCAGTGAGGGCCTGTTACTAATACCCTAGCCTCCTGCTCTCTCTTTCAAGAGGAAAGATAGTCCTGTCTGAATTGGGAATGCATCCACAAAGAACGAGACCTGTTTCCTTTAAATTGCATTCATTGTCCTTAAGTGCACAAGATGTCATCATTGATTTTTATGCTCCTCGCTGCTTTTGTATTAATCCTTACCTTTAATTTTAGCCACCAGTGCCTTAACAAAAATAAACTAAAAATAATTATTTTATTTAATGAATGCGCCCTGCAACACTCCAGGGTGTTTGGAGAACAGCACCATTAAATAAATAATGACAAATTCAAATATGGAATCTAAAAATCAAAATTAAATCATACAACCCAAAGTGTGTGGTATGACTCAAAACAATTAAAACCACTTGGCAATTACTAGCTGTGCGCTCCACTAAACATCAATACAGGAACAAATTTAGGAGGAGTTGGGGAAATGAGGGACAACCAACACGTACTGGAAACAAAAGATGACAAAAAGAATGATCAAAAAATGTGTGAAGCTACATAGTGAAACCTGTACTAGGACCTGCATATTCACTAGGCACAGCTGTTTTATGTGACTTCTTCAAGATCTCAAAGTTTCCACTTTTGCTTGACCAATGTTAGGTCTGTGTGGTTGCTGAATCCAGGCTTTGTTATTACACTGTCACCTACCAAGATCAGTATTGTCACCCTTAGGCATTCAGAAATCCTGCATCAAACTGCTAAAATCATGAGATTGGCTTAAGAATAATGAGATTTTAAACATAAAAGGTCTGGGTCTTAATAGTTTAAGGGTCTTTTTATTTACCTGCAGGTTTTTGAGCCTTTACGGGTCACATTTTCAAGCTTTTCTCTCCAAACGTGGGGGCTAGACACGTACATTTTTAATTAAAATGGCGACCCATATAATTATATGACTCCAGGGGCTGGGGCATTAAAAAATACAAAATATCTTGAGATTTGTGATCAAGATACTAACATTGCCAGGTGGTAGATCAATGTGCAGGTGAAGAAAAAAGAAGATATAGAAAACTACAAAAAAACAACAACCCCAAAACAAAAAAATAACCCTCTAGCGAATCACAGGTTTAGGAGTGCCCAAATTGCTGTCCCCTGGCATAATGTTAGCATTACCTTCGACCCCAATTCTGTAGCGAGCTACCCATGTGATCAGGGTCATAAGCTGTGTTTGCAGCATGTAAATACTGCTGTTATAAGCATATCAAGACGATATATCTGAGTTTATACAATGCTCATCTCCATAGTATCTGAGCACCTAAAACAGAAAAGGACATTGTACAGATATGAAAAGACACAATGTGTCAGAAGCTTCCAGGCTCCCAAACTTTACATAGGCTTTTAAAACTGAATGACAAAGGCACAGTCTAACAGAGGATGAAAAGGGGGGTTGAACATATATAATATGACATTACAGTTCTTGTACTGTTGACCATCTGTGCAGTGAAGCTGAAATTCACCCCATGCAGAGAGCTGTAAGTGGTGCATGGTTTTGGGTAAGCTTTCCGCAGAGGAGTTAATTTCACCCAGGGAGTGGAAGATCCCTGGTTATAGAAGCTTTGGAGATGGAGAGGTACTTGCCTGCTTTGTAAAGCGTGGTGAGACAATCTCACCCTTGTGGTATCTTGTGTACCAGTCTATGACTAGGGCCAAATGGTGCTGCCACTCCGCCATATAGGGTAACTGTTGGGAACTTCCAACTGACAGCTGTTGGAACGTTCAAGGTTGTCCTTGGCCTGGGAGGATGCTAACTGGCTGCTGTTGAAGATAACCAGGCAGCTCAGCCAATCAGATGCAAGAGTGAGGTACAGTGCACTGTAGGAGAATGGGAAGAAAAAGTCTGTTGTCTCTTCCCAGTTGTTGTTACCCCACGGTGAACATTACAGCACTGCAGAAGGACTGTGCATGGTTCCATGTCCCCCGTAAGTCTGTAAGGGGAGGATGAAGGCAGGGCATAAAGACTTGTGCTCGTTCTCTGTGCTGGGCTGAACTGTATTCCCAGTGTGGAATGGAAAAGGAGAAATAACAGAAGCATGAGGGAAATGCCTCAGGGAAAGTAAGTGACCCCCAGAGGCTCTTGCTGTTTGGGGGCAATGTGGCTCCTTCTGCTTTTTAAAGTCAAAGGGGTTCCAAAGAGGATGGATCTAGACTGTTCTCAGTGGTACCAGATGACAGAACAAGGAGTAATGGTCTCAAGTTGCAGTGGGGGAGGTTTAGATTGGATATTAGGAAATACTTTTTCACTAGGAGGGTGGTGAAGCACTGGAATGGGTTCCCTAGGGAGGTGGTGGAATCTCCTTCCTTAGAGGTTTTTAAGGTGAGGCTTGACAAAGCTCTGGCTAGGATGATTTAGTTGGGGATTGGTCCTGCTTTGAGCAGGGGGTTGGACTAGATGACCTCCTGAGGTCCCTTCCAACCCTGAGATTCTATGATTCTATGGCTCTTTTGCAGCCTGCACTACCTGTCTGCTCTGCTGGTGGGTTAGCCTCATCAGGTGACTTATTTGGAGTCTTTCTCTGCTGGGTCCAGCTTCTCCAGTTTTCTTGAAATGTTCCTTTCCAGGCTGACCTGTTTGAAAATGAGGCATGTCAACATCCTGGGTTTTGCTTTTGAGTCAAGCATATTGAGGAATTTCCTCACTGTAGACTGAGGCACCCATCCTCTGTTACCTTAATTTGCCTTTTTACCTAGGTGCCTCTCCCTCTCTGGTCTGACTAGCCAACTTTGCATTCATCTAGAGTGCTTCACTTTTCTGTACCAAGGGGAAAGTTCAAGCAAGCCAGAGGCAGGTAGGGTTGCCAACTTTCTAACTGCAGAAAACCAAACACCCTTGCCCTGCCCTTCGTCCAAGGCCCCACCCCTTCTCACTCCATCCACCCTCCCTCTGTCTTTCGCTCTTCCCCACCCTTGCTCATTTGCTCATTTTCACCGGGCTGGGGCAGGGGGTTGGGGTGTGGGAAGGGGTGAGAGGCTCCGGCTGGGGGTACAGGCTCTGGGGTGGGGCCAGGGATGAGGGGTTTGGGATGCAGGAGGGGGCTTCGGGCTGGGGCCAAGGGGTTCCGTGTGTGGGAGGCAGTTCAGGCCTGGGGCAGGGGGTTAGGGTGCAGGAGGAGGTTTGGGGTGTGGGCTCTGGGCGGCGCTGACCTCAGGTGGCTCCCGGGAAGTGGTGGCATGTCCATCAGGCTTCTAGGTGGAGGGGCGGCCAGGGGCCTCCGTGCACTGCCTCTGCCCACAGGAGCTGCCCCCGCAACTCCCACTGGTCACGGTTCCTGGCCAGTGGGAGCTGCGGAGCTGACACTCGGAGTGGCGCCTGCAGGTGGGGGCAGCTTGCGGAGCTCCCCTGGCTGCCCCTCCACCTAGGAGCCGGAGGGACATGCCACCGCTTCTCGGGAGCTGCACAGAGCTGGGCATGGAGCCTCCCTGCCCCGCTGGCGCTGTGGCCAACTGAACTTTTAGCGGCCTGGTCAGCTGACCGGAGCCTCCAGGGTCCCTTTTCGACGGGGTGTTCCAGTCGAACATCGGACTCCTGGCAACCCTAGAGGCAGGTAATTTTTGGTAACAGACAGTCACCTCTGGAATTCATCCCTGCAAGAAATACGTCTAACACTGAGTGTGGCCGAGGGCTGG